GAGACAATGTTTTCCCATTTAAATTATATTCGATTCTGATCAATTCTCTTAGTCAGACCTTGGAAGCTTCTCTAATCAACCCATGCTGATAAAGCTTTATCTAGGGTATTCATTCAGGCATAGTATTCCTGAACATTATATAAATAGGTATACAGTCTTTTTTAGGGTGTCAATTGCACCAACTCTATGAAATATGAGATGCATATTCGTCTTAATTTAAGATATCCCCAAAATTTTCTTCAACCATTTTAAAAATAGTAAATATGCCTCCATTCGAAATAGTCAATTAACTTTTCTGCATGTCTAAAAATAATTTATAGCTTTAAAGTTGAAACATGTCTATTTAATGCCAACTATGTCCTGAAACTTTATCGCTTGACTGAATGCAAGTTCAACACTTAATTTTCTACAAAACTTGATTACAATAGGATTGGATAAAAACTAATAATTTCTTTCTTGTAAGCATAACTGGTGATTGAATATAATATTAATCCCACACAAAACAGCTTCTAAGAAAGGGGCATGACTCCACAAGTTTACCCAGCCTAAAGATGTAATTCATATCCTAACTACCAATAGCTATGATTTATACATTAGAATGCTCTCTCATAAGTAAAATGTATAGAGCCATCAACTATGATCAAATTTATAGTGAATCAAACAAAATATTTTAATATATTTAAGTTTTTCCAATCTTGACTAGATCTTAAACATGCTGATGGTGATTTATCTTCATTTCTAGGTTAAAAGTAAATTTTGAGAACAAAGATTGTGAAATTTTTGGTTCATTATTTTAAACAAAGATTTTTTTAAAAATTAAATTAGCGTTGTTTATTGATTGGAGAACCTTACATGCTCCAAACACAACCATAAATATCAGTAAAAATTCATTCAAACTTTCTTTCTTCTACAAGAAGAATTAAAACTTATTATAGTTCTCAATTCTTAGTGAGAATTGGTATTTTGAGTTCAGTACATTTGAATTTCATCTAGAGTGTCTATTTGATGGTTAATCAATAGAAAAACATTATTTGTTATTTTGACAAAGTATGTTACGATGTGGTTACTTTTATGAAATGATATGATTTTTATATGCCAAATATCTCATAGATACTCAATGAATAATGAGAGTATCAATATTCTCCTGCAAATACCTTATCCATAGGATGTATACTTTTTGAATTATGACAAAGTGATATATTCTAAGATCATGTATATTTTTAACAGTTAAATCAGCCACAAAAAATGTCAATATATGCGTATTGGAGAGTTAATAGTCCACATGAGTCCCCTGATCAATTCATCCAAAAGGTTTGAAAAATTATCTATCTTGCATTCTTAGAAAATGTGGATAGGATGAGTTTTTCTTAAATTTGTAGTTGTCAAAATTCTCCCATTATGCAATACATTTTAAATTTCCATCATCTATCATATAATTGAGTTTCAGTCAAATAAAATCATATAATATTTATGAAAAATGATTAATTCATAATTTATCTAGAATGGCATGCTATTCAGTAGTTCATGGAAATTTTCAAAGAAGTTCATATCTCACATATGTGATTCTTGATGATAGGGTCTACAAGTTCTTTATTTTGACAATCACAAGGTGAAAATTGATATTCAATTCAATTTCAACATAAAAGCTCAAGTATTCTGATGTGCATAAAAATTCAGAGAAAACACACTAAATAAAGAATTTCATTTCTTAATCCTCTTGAGCTATAGTTTTTTTATTTATCAATGTTCATCTATATCTCTTATTGAACAATAAACACTTTATGAATAATTTTTATATTGAAAAGGTTGAACTCCCCAAAAATAAAACTCTATTGATTTATAGGACCTTTTACATAAAACCCAGATTTTATGATTGAAAATAAATCTTAAATTCTCACTAAAGGTTTTTAAGCAAGTAATGAAATCATGGGATAAATAAAATCAAAGAACAAATGAAATAGTAATGAGGAAACAAATGAAATGACGTCCTCTCCTAGAAATGTGAAATCATGTTATATTTGTTGCCTTGGTACATACAAGTGCATCCTTGTATGAATGAAATTAATTTTATGATCTACTTAAACTATTAGATAATGTCTAAAAACATTTTTAAGTCATTAAAAGTAATTCTAAATATGCAATGTCTAGATGTCACTTGGTGCTGAACAGTGAGTAAGGATGCAAGATTGTTGACATTTGAAGTGTTGGTCCACTATTGTGCCAAAACAGATAAGTGTCTACATAGGAATTGGCAATTTTAATGATTTACCTATGTCGGTTGCTAGGTAATAGCTATGCATGAAATATTAATGCTACATACCTAAAGGAGCAGATTTATGAAATTCAAATGAGAAGTGTTTAGAATCCTTTATTTAATGTTCATAGAAATAAAGTTTCAACCTTTTACATTCTAGTGAAGATACTTACAAAAGTCACAATGGCTTAAGCTGTAACATAGTCCAGCAAGTTTACATAGACAATTACCTAGTCTTTTAGGAAAAAATGTCTTTGGATGATTAGGCAACAATTAATTTTTTAAAGAAAAGAAATATTTCCAATTATTTTTATAATTGATTTTATGTTTCACCTATTTATTATAACATCTCCCAAAAAATATTCTTGGTGATTTTTTTCATAAAAAATATCAGATATTTAGCAACTATGATGATTTAAATCAAGGAAGGTTATCTTTTTATTGAATTACAAATAGTAGGGCATCTTAGGAAAAAAATGAAAATTTACTATGTAGAGAAGTATCACTTACAATTACCATTAGGGGAATGAAGAAATTTTAGGACATTGAATGGGATTATCCAGCATTTTTAAATGGAATTATTTAACATATCAGGCAGGTATTTTACTTCTAATCATTTGGAAGTTTACAATGATTAGTTATAGTTTTAAAAAAGTTTCAAGTTTCTAAAAGTATCTAATCTGTTGGCATATATGTCCAATGCAACTTTCCAATTTGGGTATAAAAAATAAAGTGGTGTGTCACATGGAATACAGTAGGTTTCATAATACTTTAGCCAACTTGATATGATCTTTTCCTAGCTATTATAAACAAAGTTTTTCATTGAGCTATGGCTTTATTTTAAATAATATAGTATCTTTTTTTGAAAGGAAGAAAGATTTAACCTTATATAACCATCTTTATTAACATTACTATTTCAGGATTGTTAACAAAATTTGAATTGTACATGTATCTTTGGTTTGGATAATACTTCCTATGTTTTCTGGGTGTACATCTTTGACAACCATTAATGCTGTCTATTAGGACTAGTTTTTTTGAAGCCTTAAGAACAGTGACTCATGGTTAAATTTCCAAATTATCCTCAGGATTATCCTAATTGACTGCTAGTACATCAAAACCTGACGACAGTTCAAGCTTAGTCTAATTTTTTTACCGTCTATATTCCAGGAAACCATAAAAATTATTCTCCAATTGGGTTGAGACAAAGCAGTACGTAGCTTGATAAGGCATAAGGTGAAGAATAATATAAATAAATTTTTATAGAAGATGCACTGGCATAGCGATAGACAAATTGGTAGAAAGGGAGCAGAAGAAGGGGAGAGAGGGGGAGAGAGAAAGAGAGTAATGGATAGGGTAAGTGAGATAGAGAGGAGGAAAGGGAGCAGAAGAAGAGGAGAGAGAGAGAGAGAGAGAGGGAAAGTGAGAGATAGAGAGAGGAAGAAATGGTGTGGTGTTGGGAGTCACTCGAAAGACTAATAACGATATCTCATACTTGAAAAGCTAGGATTTCGATATTCAAAGCATACATTCAACTAGCATTGTTTATTGAGATGGTATTATATAAAGTGATACGAATCTTGAAGTGATCTGGCACATAGACCTCTACATCGTTTAATCAAATCGCAGCAGGTGAAAGACTTCACATTTCAGCAGTAAATGCGTGGGCCCCCACTGGGATGCTTGTTCGTCATAAAAAGCATTTGTCTTCGTAGAATATGACGCCCTACTTCCACCAAGTCGGCAGCTTTCTCCATGCACGAAACTTCGTTCCAAAGTAGAAATTTCTGTTAAACAATCACAAGTGTGTGTGCAATGGGAAGCATAGAAATACCCTCCATTAACAACCGGTGTAAGATGCGTGATGGATAGAAATTAGTTGATAGAACTAATGTTCTTATTATGAAATTGCAGAAAACATAACAGTCGGAAAGAATTCGCTTTCTTGATCCAGAATTTTCACGAAGATATCACGATTGCTTGCGATTGTCAAACCCAATTAACTTATGCCTTTATCTTCATAATCCAAGTGACAGGTATACAAATGTTTAATGTTGAAAAGGATCCTTAGCAAGAGTTTATTTGTTATGGGAGTGTGTCTGAAATTGTCTCACTGAAAGAATTCTTGTAACAAGCAACCCAAAATAAAGCTTGGTGACAAGATGTGTATTGAAGGAACAAGAGAAAAGAACAAATGGAAATGAAGAATTGGGTTTGACGTCTCTTTCTCTCCGTCTCTCTCCCTCGCTATCCCTCCCTCTCTCCCCGTCCCCCTTTCTTTCACTCTCTTTCCCCCTCTTCCCCTGTCTTTCTCTCTTACTCTCTCTCCCTCTCTTTCCCCCTCTCCTCTCTTTCCCTCTCTCTCTCTCTCTCTCCCTCCCTCCCTCTCTCCCTCCCTCCTTCCCTCTCTCCCTCGGTCTTTCCCTTTCTCTCCCCTTCCTCCCTCCCTCTCCCTCTCTCCCTCGCTCTTTCCCTTTCTCTCTCCTTCCTGCCTCTCCCTCTATCCCTTCCGCTCTAGCAGACGGTGAAGAGACAATCGTCTTGCGGGAAATTGACGATAATATTGGCGTCATTTAATTGGACAGGCATGAAAGCAAAGCTGACTTAATTTGATCGGTGAAATGTTTCAAGAGGAAAAGAGCTATGCACATGATTAATAAACATCACGTTGTAAATTTAATAGGAATAAGAGAAATCTCGAAAAGTAACCACCAGCAACTACATAGCCCAGATACAACCGAGTCTCTTCTTACGAGCCGGCAGGCGCGAGGCTTAGGTGCAAGTCGACCCCAAACACGTCATCTGCGCCATTTCGCTTGCCGCCGGCGCCGCCTCCGTTGCCCCCATCTCCTCCGACAATGAATCCTGCTGCAGAAAACCCGCCGAAGACAAGCGATGGAGTGCTTCCGACGGCTCTGGCTGAAGGCGGCGCCGTCGTCACCATCATCGTATCGTCCATCTCGTACACGTAGGGCACGACCGAACCAGCAGGCATCACCCGACCTTGTGAAGATGCAGAAAAGATGTGAAGCGGTGCCGTTGCGGTGCGGGGATAGTAGATCCTCCCGCCGCCAGATGCCAACCTGCCCGCTGGAGATAAAACTACGTGGGTTGCGGCCGCCGGGGTTGATCCCGCGAGAAAAACGTGGGAGGAGACCGCGGCGGCACGAGCTTGTAGCTGTGCTCGCTTGAGCTGCTGTCGTTCCTTCTTGTGAGCGTTCTGGTGGCCACCGAGTGCTTGTGAGTTAGCAAACTCCCGGCAGCAGTATTGGCACTCGAACTTTCTCCCCTCTCTGCCACCCATGGGGACAATCGTTGCGACGGCTAGCCTATCCCCGCCGGTCGGTGTTCCGACAGCCTCCGGATCCTCATCCTCAGACACATGGAAGCCGAACAGTTTTAGCCTTGGGCTTGTAGTTGTACTAGGGAGTTTTGCTTGGCGTTCCATTTCCGCCATCCCTGGGAAAGAGCTGGAGAAGGGATAGAAGGGAGGAGAGGGGGAGAGAAAGAGAGTTGGAAAAGGGAGAGATAGAGTAAGAGAGACAAAGACAGAAGAGAGCAGGAGAGCAAAGAAGACGGGGATGTTGAGTTTTAATGCGGGCTGGATTGTAATATATATGTAATTGTTGAGACAAGTAAAAATGTTTCTTTTACTGTCTTTCAAAGCACAGCGAGATAAGGCAGCCCAGGTAGTCAGAGAAAGCGGAGAGAGAGACCACAAACCTGAGAACCTGAGATATAATAAAGCACCATCGCTGGGCGAGATGGGGAGAGAGGGGGAGAGAGAAAACCGGAAGAGAGGATAGACCCTCTGTGGGCGGTAGAAAGAGAGAGTGAGACATGGAGAGTATCTACCCGACATGGTAGCCCATAACCAGAGGGGGAAAAAATATAAGAAATGATTTGGGATGACAACATACCCGAACGTCTCTCTCTCTCCTCTCTTTATATATTTTATAGACAAGTATGCCAATATATATGTCCACAGGCCTCTTATGCAGTTCACAGTGTCAATGGTGGCGTGTGGAAGGCATTCACGTTGTGCGAGTCTCGATTGGCGGGAGGACGACGACGACGACGACAACGCCGACGAAGACTAATAATTCCTCCAACACACACACCCCGCCCTCTTCCCCCACCCCCCCAATATTCCTGACGTGAGGGAAACCTTTTGTACGGATACATGGGGGTGATGCCATTCATAGTAAGTGACCCCCCATTTCACGTCGGGATGGTGCAGCGGGCAGAGGGTTGTCCCCCTCTTCCCTTACCCGCAATGGTCGACCCTCCCGCCTCTTCTCCGAATGACGCTAGTCTCGTTGAAAGAGTAGTTTAACTGGCCCTGCTGACCTTTTCTGACCGGACCCTCCGTCGTGCTCGCTGCTCCAAACCCATGTATAAAGTGCTATTTTCGAATAAAGTATTAATATAAAACCCGCTCCCCAAGAGGGATGCATCCATCATCACATGAACTCACCAATAACTTAGATTAAAACGTCATTTGTCTATTCCTGACATATTATCCCAGACATTCATTGAGAGATAATTACGATTACATACAAAGCAAGTCTACGCACAATCAGCTCAACACGATCCCCTCGGGCACTAAAATGAGTTTTATTAGGATTGTACTTTTGTCGTGTTGCTCCCTCAGGTGATATTGATATTATTGTATGAATATCACTTATTAGTACCAATGAATACAGTAAATCGAACCACTGAATAGAGAGACATTTCGCTAAGCGCGTAACGTAAAGATGCCCTGGTATGTATATGATGGCCCTGTTCATTCGTGTTAAGGCGCTACATGCAACGATTTTTTTTATGTATTTAAACAGTAAAAGTATGTAATCGTTTATAAAGTTTAGAGAAGACCTACCCTCGGTTCATCACTTAGGCCATAGTGGGTATAGGGTCCGCCCGCTTGCATTCCAACTGGAGACCAGACTTTTAAGTCGTCATGATATGTCCACCATGCTAGATAGATCGCTGGAATCGATCAAGATAAAAAGATAAAAAGATAAAAAAATAAAAAAATCATGGTGATCATCGTTAGGAAAAAGCACGGAAAAAAAGTTTATAGATTGTGGTTCACCGAGACATTTAATAGAACCTGGGGATAGTCATATGCCAATCCATGGATAACCTCTTATAGTGTGTAGTTCTTTCCTTTTCTTTGCGGGAAATGCAGATGGCCAGGTTAAAGAATATAAAAGCAGAATAGAAATTACTTCATAAATTCAATTGCATGGAAATTCAGTAGAAATTTCCAATATCGTTAACAATGTTATCTCATCCACGTAAATGAGGAAGAACACTAGGATATAGGCCAATTGAGTACCGAACAAGAACTAGGGTATGCATGGATACTCCTGAATTCATGCTATGCATCATCCCCCAACATAAAATAAACATTAAATATCATAGACAGAAAAAAAATTAAGAAGGTAAGTATTTAGTGGATGAAGGAAAGAAATAGATAAAAGATCATGTTTCATTAATGGGAATTTTATCACATTTACACTATTATAAAATTAGAAACTTCAAAAAATATCCAATTTTGAAAGAAAAAGAGTCTCTCTAAGTTCCTCTAATGGAGCTAAGGTTTCGAAACTGGATAGGCCTGCCTGCCTTGTTGAGAAGCACATTGATTTGGCATAGCACTAATCTTAAGCTTGAGACAAGCATTAGATTGACCAATAATCTGAAAAGTACTAAATTCTTTTTCAATAAATTTAATGATGCTTAATTGAGAAGTATTTATTTAAATAAATTTCCTGTGTAGAATATTGGAATTAGATGTTATGGGACAACATATTCCTACTACTTCAACGAATATAAATTAAATACAGTTCTTGTCTCATTAACCACCATGCACTCTTTACTTCACCTACTAAATCTTGGTATTTGTTCTGCATCACAAGATAAGTAAGTTTATGACAAAATCCGTACTAATTTTATTACTAAAAACCTGAACCACACATTATAACTGTTTTTACATTTATTGTTTCCATGCCAAAATAGAATTAATGTTGGCCAAAAAGACAATACCGTATCAATTTGAACTGTAGATGAACACTTCAAGAGAAACTGCCTTACCTCGTCAATGGTACCAATGAGGCTTCATTGCCTCAGTCTTGAAGTTACAATAATATGTATCTCTAATTTCTTTCATTAAATCCAATGATTTGTTTTTAGAAATTAATTGACGCTGCTTAAATCATCTAAAATATCCGTTCGACAAGCATTTAATTTCCATTCATAGCCAAACATAATGATTGAATCAACCGCCTCCTTTAAATGGTGTAATCCTTTACCCAATATGTTCAATGTGAATTAACCTTCAACACATGAGCCAATCCTATCTTCAACTGAAACGAGTGGGAAGAAATGCTGAAACATTCATTTATGGAGTTGTTAATATTGGCTTTCTGCAGGAACCAATTATTCAAACATTAATTCCTTGTCATTTATGTTTGGACATAATTGCAGCCAAGTATTCTCCTCTGTATTCCGTCTTTCCTCCAAGAGTTATTGATTCTTTTGAACTTAGTCAACCACGTACACATGCGTCAGAGACCACAAGTTATCAAACGTTAAAAATGGGGAACTGGAGTACACTTCATGACCACCACCAGAAAACCAACCCAGGATGACGTTCTTGAAAGGATTAGTTGATGCACCCTCTCTCTCTCTGTCTCTCTCTGTCTCTGTGTTTTGGGGCTGACGGGGCTGACGTTGACAACTACTGTACTCTGTATGGCTCTCTATTTATTTATTTATTTATCTCTCTCTCTCTCTCTCTATCTCTCTCTCTCTCTCTCTCTCTCTTTCTCTATGTGAAAGTGGTGAGAACTGACGCTAACGACTATTCCTCTCTTTCTCCGTATCTATTCTTTCACCGACCCCTCTCTCTCTCTTCCCCCTCTCTTCTCCCTCTCTTTCTCTCTCTCTCTCACACACACACACTCTCTCTCTTCCACACAACAAATTGTGTAGGAATTTAGTCTCGAAGGTTTACAGGTAAGCCCGCTTTGTTTGTCGAAAGTGATGTGAATCCATGTGTTAGTCCAGACTCCCTATGGTCACTATATAGTGTTCTTCCATCTCCAGTCTGAAGTCTTGGCCAAACAAAAGGGTGAATCCAAGCCGACAGCTCATTTTGAAAAGCGTACGACTTCTAGCTTCCCATATCTCGCGTCCAGGGAAATGCCTGGCCGTCAGCGGTCTCCTTTCTCTCGATTATCCCCCCCCATTTTCTGCAGACTTATTACATCACCCTCAAATGGTTTGTGAATTATTTAAACTCCTTCGGCGAAGTCTGACTGCATGTAACGCCAATAGTAAATATTAGACTTTCTTATGGAAAACCAACTCGGCTCTATATGAACGAACTTACCGCAGAAAGCCAAGGTAACTCCCCCTCAAAAATACTAAATATCTTTCGGGCTGATTTCAAAGACGGTTGCCGCAAGCAAATCGAGGCCTACATTTGGTTCCAGATCTAAAGGGATAGATTTGTCTACTCTGTTCACAAGATATTTAAGAAACGTAGCTTGGAGCTCTGAGGGTTTCCTTGAGACGCTAGTTTGAAAGCGGAAGCATAAAACAACTGCCGACCGCCTGCCCGAAAGTAGCCTGATAACTACGAAGAATCTAAGATCATTGGATCTATATTGATTTCGACCGCCAGGAGATGATAGACGGGCCCCTGGGGCCGGATCTAGCTTTTTCACGATGCTGGAGTTCACGGGTTCAACATGTTCATGGAGGAATGACGCGTCGTAGATCAGAGAAAGGACGAGAAAGAGAGGGGCACGCCATCAGTTTCTCATTCTACTCGTACTGTCTGCAGAGATGCTTCGTGACAAAAGTGGAATTGTTGAAGTCAGGTTAAATAGGTATCCAGGTTAAATAGATACTCTAGAGAATAGAGGTGAACGAGAGTTTGAGAGATAGAGAGGGAGAGAGACATAGAGAAAGAAAGAGACGCATCGGACAAGACTTGACACCGATAAGACTCCGACCACAACCGCAAATTAAAGCCGTGCACTAAAACAATGAGCAGAGGACCGTAGTTCCTGCATGGATACACAGGTCGTTTTTTCCGTACACCCAACTCCGCGCAGACACTATTTGGTAATTCAATGGATATACACGCCGAAGAATACCACTATGACGTCTTGATTGATCAGAGTCGGAATATATACCAATATCCATCAAAAGGCTACTAAAAATTTCAGCAAAAAGTAGTGAGAACCATACTGGAATGGCCGAGAGAATGAAGTAATGCTAGAAGTAAATTAGGATTGTACTCTTTAAGCCCCTAGAGACTACGATGTGAAAAACCCTTATCGTTTGCTCCATCCACTCTCTTCTGAGAACCAAATCGCTAACATTCGCGCCTAACAGAGCACGAAACTATATTCTTTCACATTTTTCCGGTGTTGAATCTAA